CGTGCTTTGAGGTGTCCTCTCAATGTGAAAGGCACTGCATCAAATGCAAGGATTATTATCATTAATAATAATCAATTCGATTGCTTTTCAATTAAACTCTTAATTGGGGGCGTCCAACGGGAACAGAAATCTGGCAAATTCTACTTTCCTTTCCCAGTTGTGGACTGCAGGCGGAAAAGCAGTGTGTAACGCGTTAGACATTTAAAGTTATTAATGATGTGTAAACAGCGATGTGTTTTGATCGCGCTCCGTTCTAGTTGCGATTTGGCTATTTTTGAAAATTACTTTCTTCGCCAGTGGGTTCCATTGAAATTGAGCAGATGTTGGTGAGCGCTAAGTGCCCAACTTCTTTGCACAACGCCCTTCAAAAGATGCCTGGAGCTGACAGTAATGGTAAGTATGTGTATCTATAACAGATGTGCAGCGTATTAGGAACTTTTAAAGACGGTCTGTCCGTGTTGAAGACGGTAGCATGAGAAGAGTAGGATCGTGGCTTCAGAGACTGGCAGAGTCATATGCGATCTTTGCAATATCATTCAAGTCACTTTCATTTGGAGGTGATATCAGCGTGATCATTTTTTTCGCCAATAACCAACTTGCACTTGCCACATAGCAGCGCTCTGGGACGCTACCTTGCGTGAGGGGCGCAAGCTGTTGTTGATGTTGTTGTTGTTGTAACTTGCATCTTTCACGTAATATAGCAACTCAAACCCAGGTCCTTTCGCTTGCGAGGCGAGTGCTCTTGAGCATTAAGCTGGAATGAGGTTGGGTGGTGGGGGGTGTGGGGGGGGGGGGGAGAGGGTCAAAAAGGAATGCACGGTTGGAGAGGTAGGTTTATAGGGGGCGTTTTGAAAGCAAGGAGAGAGGGGCTGGGTGTGAGGTGGAAAGATTTTTTTTGGGGGGGGGTGAGTTTCTTCTGAGCTATAAAAAGTGGAAAAGTCTTTGTTTTGTTTTGCTTGCAAACCATGCAACAGAATATATCTTGGGCAGCCAGTGTTGTGTTTGTAATAAATGTCCCCTCACTTGTGAGCTCAGTCTCCCTGCTGGCATTATTTACCGCATCACATGAGCAGCCAGGATATATCTTCTATTTTTACACACAGTGATTCACAGACAATATTAATTTACCCAACGATTGCATCACAATAGCCTCTTGTGGTCTTTAATCAATGTCTTTTTCAGGGCTATTTTTACACTGTCGTTAAAATGGTCTTCATTTCTATCAAGACCAACGTACATCGCACAGAAGAAGAAAAATTACAGGGGATGATTAAAAGGCTGTAATTTAGTCTCTGGAATCAGAAGAAACCAATAAATCACTTAAGGTTTTGTTCATCTGGTTTATGACACCATCTGAACCCATCGGTTAAAAATGATCAAATGAAAGTATTCTTATGATAAAGCCTTGAAACTACCTAATTTCAACAACATCTTTCAAAATGTTGATTGGAAATAGTTGAATCATGGCGCAAGACATTTATTTGGTGAGGGAATTGAAGTCCTGGTGTTTAGTATCACAGTTTCAAACATTCTCTCTGCATGGACAGCCTTCTAACCCAAAACACATGATCATTGTTAACGGTTCCCAACATTTTACTGCCGCGCCGATTAACCCAGACCTTCAATGGATTGGTTTCTCCATGATTAATGTTTCACATTTCCTTGAGGATCTGACCCCAGAATAGTGCTGGCTCAATTCTGAACCCACTTGAGGCTTTAATCAAATTATGCTTTGCATTCATTCGCCAAAGGAACAGAAATAAAGAAATATCATCAACTGAAAAAAAGTAATGGGCAATTGTTGGATCTGGGCAAAGAGAAGAACACAATTTTTTTTGTGGGAAAGGTAGCTGAGATCGATTTCGATATTATCTATTTTCTTAGCTGTTATCTATCATCTATTGTGCAAAGGCGTTGTGTGCTTTGTGACCTGAACAGTCTGTGTTGTCCATTCATTGTCAATGGGACTGTAAGGCATAATGTCAGCCTGGCTCAGGTAGTAGCACTCTCACCTCTGAGTCAGAAGGTTGTGAGCTCAACACACATGATGGCCCTTTAAACTGAGAGTCAAGGGTGACACTCCAGTGCAGTGCTGGAGCTGGGAAGCATAGTCATTTGGATGAGACAAAAAACTGAGGTCCTCTCTGCCCATCCAGATAGGTGTTAAAGACCCCATGCCACTATTTGAAAGGAGAAAGGAGATTTATATTATATATAAATAAATATAGTAATAATCCTTGCATTGGTATAGCAGCTTATCGTCAAAGCACTTCTATTCAACTCCAAGTCATTACTCGATTTTCTGTATCAATAAATTTTAACAGAAGAGTGGCTGAGTGATTTACTTGTTAGGCTGTGGACACTTAATTTATATTAAAAAAAATAAAAATATGGTCACTCAATCCACGACTGTTTGAGGGACAATGCTGTGTGCAATTGGCTACTGCGGTTCGCCCACAAAATATACAGACAATCGACCTTACAATATATTCCGTGAAGCGCTTTGAGACGTCCAATCAAAGTGATAAGGCGCTATATCAAATGCAAGGATTATTAGTTTAGTTATCATGCCCATTTATGAATGCCTTGCCTCATTGCGTGCAGCAAGTAACTTTCTCAAGAATGAGGTGCACTTGTACACTGCATAAGATGAGCTCTGCTTCAACCTGACGTGGTTCAAAGTGGAGCGTTAGCCTTTCGAGTCACGGAGTGATAAACCGCGTTCATACTTCAGCAAAACAGATGTGATATCAGCAAATGTGCAGTGGGCAATGCTCAGCTGTATATGGTGAATTTTAACTCGCCCTGACAGAACGAACATTTGGAGGTGCTGAAACGATGAGAACCACATCGCAAATATTCACGCCATGCAAAAAGTGCTGATAGGAAAAGCTGCGCAAACAATTAAAAACATACAATAGTCACTGCCTTATGAGGTAAATATATTAGTTAATACTTACATTATATATAGTGTTTTAGAAGACCATGCAAATTCCCACTGCTCATCCAATCCCAACAAACTGAAATCAATAGCTACGTTCACCTGAGATAGCAAACTCAGCACAAACTATGAACATTCTCCTGCTCTGAATGGCTCAGGGTCACACCACATGGTGCATTTACCTGAGACATTGGGGGAGCAGAGCAGTACACAGATATTTCATAACAACTTTATTTTATTCAAGCCAGCTATGTTTCTTTACATTCAGTCATATATGATATATTTCATGTGAAATTATTGCTCTCAAGTGCATTGGAAGATACAGTATATAGTTACATCAATTACGTGATTATTCAAAGCAAGGGGATTTAACTTTTAAAAACTGTAAATAATCTAACAATATCAATCTGCATTTTTTGTATCGCATCTTATCACATTCCTCAAAACATCCCAAAACATTTTATAGGATTTACTGCAAATTATAGTGACTCAATATCTGTTATTAAATGGCACTGAGGAATGCATATGCCTTTAAAGAATAGGTATATATTATATATTAAAAAATGAATTTTAAAGCACATTACGCATTAACATTTCGAAGCATTTTGTAAAATATCATCAGTTGGCAAGTGTGTGTTCTTATATCAACAAGTGTGGCAACTAACGTAAACAAGATGATGAATTCATTTTTGAATTTGGAAGTAAATTTGGATTACTTGGAATGGAACATAAATCAAGGTCACTAGAAGACTAGACGGTTTCTGTTTTTAAATATAAAAACAACCCAGAGCAGGTCAAACAGTGTGGCATCAAAACTGCTGAGAATCAAACGTGAAACTTTAACCTGCTTTTCTCGCAAAAGTTAACTATTTGGGCGGTTATGAATCTCAAGCTTTTTAAAATGTATTTACGTAGATGCAAAGCATTCGCAGTTCTTTGGAGTCGTGGTAATAAACTGAACATTTGAATGTACATCAGCTGTGTTTGATTTGGACCATAAATAGTTGTGATTATTATGAAATGCAGAAGTTGTCTGACGGTTACGCAGTTTATTTTGGTAGAAAAACAAAACTGCTTCAGAATTTTAAAGTTACAACACCATCTCTTTCTTCTGTCCAGAATTGTTGTTGAAAATAGTTTCGTAACACCACCATGAAAACAGGAAGTGGTGCTCAACAGAAAACCTTTGATGAAACAGAAACATCTGTGTCCATGTTTACGGTCTTGTCATGTAGCTGAGGCTGGCTGAAGTATTTAAAACCGGGTAAATAGAAGCAAGTTAGCGGAACCTGGGTTTGATCCCCGGCGAAGCAAAATGTTAGACACATTTCCTTACCCCACAAGCCTGTTTACCTCGCAGCAAGTAGGAACCCGGTTATTAGTTGATTGGCAGATCGCTTTTTCTAGGGTAATAATCCCCTCACCAAAAAAAAATGGTCACTCAATCAATGACTGTTTGTGGGACACTACTGTGCGCAATTGGCTGCTGCATTTCACCCATAAAATATAGTCAATTCCCACGACGGTATATTCTGTGAAGCGCTTTGAGACGTCTCAAAGATGTGATAAGGCGCTATATCAAATGCAAGGATTATTATTATCTTTCCCATCTTCGCAAAGTGAAAAGTAAAGCGATTTTGTGAGTTAAAAAAAGTGATGTCAGTGCTGGGAGAAGGAATATTTTCATGTATATCAGATGGGAATGGCAACCAGGGACACCTGTGTCCACAGAGGTCTTTCTTGTCACTTTGATGATGCTGTTGTGGTCACGTTAATGCTGCCCTTCAGGTGGTTAAGGTTTAAAGGTGGTTTTCCTAGAACTAGCCTTTTTTGGTGATTTGCATCTATTTTGAGAATCTACAGGTGAAAGTCTGGTGCAGAAACTTGTCGACAAGACAACAGAAGATTGAAGCAGAAACACACCAGTCAGAACAGAGTTGAATAAGCGAGTTACACCTGAATGACTCAATTCACCACTGAAAATAAAATGCCCAAAAGTTGAACAACATTGATCTTTTATTTTAACTTTTCAGAGGAAAAAAAAATCAATCATCCAAGTAGTAGTAAGAATATCTTTATTAGTTTCACAACCATCGACTGGTCCCTTGTACTATCATTCCCATATTAATTTATTTAAGATTATAGATCCATTTTAACAACTGACGATTTCCTTCGCTGTCTTTCAGACGTGTAGTGAGTGAATTCATTCACTTGGATTCTGGATGACAATTAGAAGGTACTCTTTATCTGTAAAGGAAAACAAACAAATGATCTTTCCAGCAACAAAACCAATTGATCATTTTCCGCTTCAGTAGATACAAGTGTGCTGCATCTTTGATTACCAAGGACTAAATCTCATGAACCACAAGACAATTTTACCTGGTGCGACCATAATTTCATGTTTTTTTGATCGGATTCGCAGGAAGGTCAGATCATTCTGTGGGTCAATATCTCTTACAGTGCTCCTTGCTTTCATGGACAGTTGATGGAGTAGGCCTGCATATTGCACTGTGGTGGAGTTGTCCAAGGTTGTTCTTATTGGGATTCCTGAGAATCAAAATAAATAGAGAACCTTTCCATTATAAACGAGATCTTCCACCTGCAGAAAATGGGTAAGCTACGATTGCTCTAGTAATCAAATATCTGTGTCCAAGGTGGCTGTTTGACGTTGCAGCAAGTTATAGCCATATAATTTGCAACACAATGCTAACGTGTAAGAGTACGAACAGTTAAAACGGCAATCTTTTAGATTCAAGAGAGAAGGGATGCCAATTAGCAGTTTGCACGTTAATAATGACAACGGTTCTTGACTAACGAACAATGCGGGTCTCTCTCCATTAGTTCGCATAAAAATCACGTTGCAATCTAAACCAGTTCTCATCGGTCCCATCTCAGAAATGACCGCAATGGAGTATGTCAAGGGAGTAGAGAACATGAATTCACACAAATTCCAAATTACGGTCCAAGTTTATCAGGGAGCAAGGGTGAGTGAGTTTCTCGTATAGAGGAGAGAGAACGACACAGAAAGTCAATCCAGGTTCCAATTCCACATTTTCTAGGTGCTTATAGCAAAGCAGTATTTGGCAGGTCTGAAAAATACCATTTACATTCTGAGCTGAAGAAGATGGAACAAAATAGAGGTGGGGGGGCGGGGGGGTGTGAGAGGGGGAAGAGACAAGAGGCAGAAATAATACTGCCATCCCATCTGAAAGGATATTCAAAGCAACTACTTTAATTTCTACAAGTTCAATAAAATGCTGGCTTCAGCCTTCCAAATACAATTCCCCTAGGAAATGCTATATTAACTCAGTGGACAGTTTGGTGATATTACAATCATCATCATTAATTTGATTGCATTAGAAGTTTTCATTTATTCAGCAAATAATGTAATGCAGGAACACACAAGGGATACCAGCTATTAAACCTGCAACTAATGTTGCGTACCATTGTGATACTTGTTAAGAATTAAGCCATTTAGAATAATATACGAAATATTACAGTGCTTAAATCGTAGATAATAATTATTGTAGATCATGACCATTAAACCAAGTCCCAAATCAGGAAATGAATATAGAATTATCTCTTGCTAACTGCACATATGCTGTGAGTGTGATTAACATATGAATCAACCTCACGCATACTTCTGGTGTATATATACCAACGCACACACAGATATACACACACTTTTTCATTACAATTAAATAAAAATGATTAAAATCAGAGGCAAAGGGTAACTAAAAGTTCAGAAAGCTTAAGTCTTCAATGTACTAAAAAGGCTGGAATGTTTTAAAAAAAACATTTTCTTCACTTTCCAAAATCACGGTTCTTGTATTTTCTTTATTTGTTTTTGCGTTTGTATTTCCTCCCTCCCTACCCACCCCCACAACCTCAGGAGCACTGCCTAACCAAGTGACCAGTCAAGCAATCTGCTTCCAAGCCTTTGCTTATGGTTTTCCTGGGCTGTTCACAAAGAGGTGATTGTTGGTGGTGTGAGCATCTGAATCTTCTCTCTCCCCCTCTCACTCCGAAGCTCACAAATACCACTCAGCGTTCCTTAAACGCAGGAGGCATTCAAAGCAGTTCCCTTAATTTCTACACCTAAAAAAGGTACATAACAGCATCATGGAGATTAAAACTTGAACAATGAGTTGAGGGCGAACTTCCCTAAGATTACGAGCTGTAAATAACCAGAGGGTTTTGAAAAAATTGTGGCTCAGAAATCAAAACTACTGCATCAAGATGAGAGCCACGTACCTTCCGCATTCACTACTATAGTTCCAATCACACCTTTGTGGGACTGAATTCTCTTCAACGTTTCCTCCACCTCAGACTGAAAACAAAAAAGGAAAGAAATTGAAACGAGAGAGCACTCGGCAGGCAGTGGAATCTCGCACGGTTTTTTGTAAAGCGTGTCAATGTTAAATAACAATCACTGTTCGGTTTTTCGAGCGACAAGACCTGCGATACGAGGGAGATCTACAACAGAGGGTTGAGCGGTGATGGTCTCAGTGCTCGTGAAGATTTTTAACCTCAAAATGCGGAAAGGGAGAAGGTCGTTTGATCCAGCGTGCTTACTCCGGGCGGACCACAGCGAAATGACCCCAATACTGGTTTCACCCCCACCCAATTCTCTGGTTCGAAACATCAATCGAGCAACAAGAGGGAAACAAATCCAGAATATTCATCCCTCCCTCCATCTCAACCATCCAAATCCTATTATCCTGCCCTCCCTACGCAAGACATCTTATTCCTTTCTTTCATTCCTTCTCTGTCTCTTCCTCCCTTTTTCTCTTTCTTTGTCCCATTTATTTTCAATCTCACTGCCCCACCCAGATCCCTCTCCCTTCCCTCGGGAAAGAGAAAGGCCTATTTTCTTGTTGTGTGTGTGGGTGTGTGGGAGGGAGGGAGGGAGAGAGAGAGAGAGAGAGGATAGGAGGAAGGAAAGGACCAGAAGAAACGTTCAAGCAAACAATACTGAAAACAAAAATCAGGGAATAACAATGCGTTGGCGAATACAATACGGAAAAGCAGCAGATTATAAAGGTCATGGCCTGGCTGGGGGGGGGGGGGGGGGGGAGACACAGAGAGTGACAGAGACACACACACACACACAGAGACAGAGAGAGACACAGAGTGACAGACAGACACACACAGAGAGACAGAGAGAGAGACACACACACACACACACAGACAGAGACACAGAGTGACAGACACAGACACACACATACACACAGAGACAGAGAGAGATCGAGAGAGACACACACACACACACACACACAGAGTGACAGCGAGAGAGAGAGAGACACCCAAGAGACACACCCAGAGAGACAGAGACACAAAGAGTGACAGAGAGAGAGACACACACCCAGAGAGACAGAGACACACACACACACACACAGAGACACACCCAGAGACACAGAGACAGAGAGAGATCCCCCCCTCAGGGAGCGCCTCCGGCTGACTGGAGCCGCCGGTCAGGGCGGGAGAGGCTGAGTGAGGCCCTGCTGTAAACAGGGAAGCCGGGGCCTCGCGCCCGCCCGCCCGCCCGCCCGCCCCGGGGGGAGGGGGGGCACAGCCGCCGACCAGACCAGACCAGGGGCCTGAAGAGAAAACAAAGCGCCTCCCCCACGGGAGGCTTTCACTCACCATCGCGTCTCTCTGTGTCTCTCCCAACAGTCAACGCTAATACACACACACACGGCCGGTTGCTAGGCAGGAGGAGGGGAACCGGAACCGGAAATGACGGCGACTCGCCCCACCACCGGAAGCGGCGTGGATCAGAATGTCGTCACCTGCTGACTTCTTCCCCCCCCTCCTCCTCCTCCTCTGGGATCTCCCCTGGGCAGGAGGGCAATCGTACGATTATTGTTGTCACTGTGAATGATAACGACAATAATAATATCAATAATAATAATAACTCTCGCATTTGGTACGGCGGCGCCTTATTATCAGGGCCTTCGAGACGCCTCAGAGCGCTTCGCAGGAGAGACCGCAAAAGCGGAGCGACCGGAGGTTTTTGTGGGGCTGAGCGCGGCCGCCCACCACGCGCCGCAGCGTCCCCGCAAACAGTCGTGGGTCGAAGCGGCCAATTTCCCTTGAGGGACTATTCATCAGAGAGGCTGCGTGCGGAGCCAGGAGAGCGGCCCAAGGCCTCCCCCCCCCGCCCCCCGCCCCCCGGCCCCCCGGCCCCCGGCCCCCGGCTGGGAATCGAACCCAGGTCTCTCGCTCGCGCGGCGAGTGGGGCTACAGGACTCCGCGATTTGCGGCAGAGCCATTTTGCGTCGGGAGGACGTCCCCGGGCGCTGGACAGCCAGAGGGTCGGCGGGGGAGGGGAGGGGGGGGGGGGGGGTGAGAGGAGACCTTCCCCCATCCAAACACCTCTCCCTGTCATCTTTGGAGTGGGTTTGGAGAGAGAGGGAGGGAGTGAGAGAAAGAGAGAGAGCAGAGCAGAGGAGGGGGGGGGGGGACACCAGTGAGAAGGGCGAGCGAGGCAGGGGGTGGACTACAAGTCCCACAGGCCTTTGCGCAGGTGCGGCGCGGCGCTTCCGGGCCCGGGGCCGGAAGTGGCGCGTGTAAACAGTGGCGGTTGGGGGAGACGAGCCGGAGCCATGTCGGCGCTCAGGTACGCGGGTCTGGACGACACTGACAGCGAGGATGAGCTGCCCCCAGGCTGGGAGGAGAGGAGCACCAAGGATGGCTGGATCTACTATGCCAAGTAAGGGCACAGGCTAACCTCGCTCAGCACTGCACTGGCTGTCCCTCACTCACTCACTCACTCACTCACTCACTCACTCACTCCTCTCCCTCACTCACTCACTCACTCACTCACTCACTCACTCACTCTTCACTCCCTCCTCCCCTCACTCACTCACTCACTGGCTGTCACTCCCTCCCTCCCTCACTCACTCACTCACTCCCTCACTCACTCCCTCTCCCTCCCTCACTCCCTCTCTCACTCGCTCCCTCTCTCACTCATTCACTCTCTCTCCCCCTCACTTACTCCCTCGCTCACTCACTCGCTCTCTCCCTCACCCACCCACCCACCCAATGACTCATTGACTCACTCCCTCATTGACTCACTCATTGACTCACTCACTCATTGTCTCACTCGTTGGCTTGCTCACTCTTTGATTCAGTTATTCACTCACTCACTCACTCACTCATTGACACACTCACTCACTCATTGAATCACTCGCTCATTGGGTTACTCGCTCACTCATTGATTCATTCACTCACTCATTGACTCACTCACGCGCTCGTTCATTGACTCACTAATTGACTCACTCACTCGCTCATCAATTCACTCACTCGCTCGTTGACTCACTCGCTCGTTGACTCACTCGCTCGTTGACTCACTCGCTCGCTGACTCACTCACTCACTTGTTCACTCACTCACTTGTTCACTCACTCACTTATTCACTGACTCAATCACTCACAGGTATATTGACTCACTCACTAACTCATTTGCTCATTGACTCACTCACTTGCTCATTGACTCACTCACTTGCTCATTGACTCACTCACTCGCTCACTCACTCACTCATTGACTCGCACGTTGACTCACTCGTTCATTGACTGACTGACTTGCTCGCTCATTGACTCACTTGCTCGCTCATTGACTCACTTGCCCATTGACTCACTCATGCGCCCATTGACTCACTCACTCGCTCTTGACACACATGGAGTGAATGGGTGAAAATGGTTTGGCTAAACTCACTGCAACCTCTTTTTACCCGTTGCTCAAAACTTTCAGTTTTTCCTTTATTGGGCTGTGTGGGTTCATGCACGTCATCTCGTTTTGTCTGCGAAGTAATCACTGGATGCTTTTCAGCGAACACATGGAAAACATTGATGCCACTGTTGAATAAAACTCTCCTGTTGGGAAACGGTGCGATTTTATCACCCTGCTCTGTCCCCACCAACTGCAACTGCAAAAACAGATAAAGAATGGTGAATTAAAGTCTGACATAACTTGAGTTAATCTTAGCAGGGTGAAAATATTGAACTGCTTTTGATATATTTGGTATTTTTATTCATAGATGTTTAGCTCGTCCCCCACACAGCTATGAAACTTTTTATTGCTGGACTGAGCCGAGGATTGACAATAGCAGTCAATGCTTGTTGATGGAGACAAGCCATGACCTAAATGCCTTCTAATAAAGTGATGATTTCATTGAGTGCAGCGCTCCTCCTCCAAGAGTGTCCTCAACCAGCAAGGCTGTGTTGTCTAATACAGCCAAAGCTGCTTATGTGCAGATTCAAAAAGGGATGTATAAATGATGGAAACTGCATATGTTTGAAGAGCCTTCAAAACAGAGCTCAAATATAGTATAGTCCGCCAGTCCAGCCTTCCTTGAATAATCTCTTCCTGATGTCTACAATTTTCAATCACTGGCAAATATTTCTATACTACATACAGTCAGTTACAATCTTTATTGTGGTGAATTCTATGTTGTGTTTAAGGATTATTAGGTGACCGTTGTTGCTGTCTTCTTAAAATTGTTTGAATTGTAACCAATCCAGTTTGTGCCTAATGATCTATGTTCTTTGTTATGGATAAGTAGACTTGTATTGATTTTTGTTTTTGTGTGGTGTGTATTTGTGTTATAAGTCCTGAAGAGGATGAATGTGGTGTGCACTTGTTTTTTTTCTCTCTCGCCCTCTCTTCGAAAGGCTTTGATTTCTTTTTGTTTCTACTGGTGTGTGTTTCCAAGGGGTTTGCTGTGCGCCATGACGAGGGGATGAATGACCGTCAATGCCGAATGTTCACTAATTTTTCTCCAATTCCATCTCTAGGGTGGAGATACCAGTGGTATTTTTGCAGAAAGGGGGTGGAAAAGATTAACACAATTTATCTGGTGAATTTGCCTTTAAACTGAATTAGTATGGGGATTGATAAGGTAGTTACCAAAGGAATTGGCAGAAACAGCAACTCTGTGGATTACTTCCTCTTCAAAGCTGTGATCACTTGCTCTGGATAGAACGACTGATTTCAAAATGCTGAGCTAAGTCCAGAATGTTCATTTAATTATCATGACCTGCAATGCTCAGTAAGAGTGCTGCCAGGTCACGTCCACAGATGAAACCAATTTTTTTGTACAAAGATAAAATAATCCTTGCATTTGATGTAAGGGACTGTCACTTCAGGAGTGTGTCTCTTAGCGCTTCACAGGGTTTCACTGTGAAGTACAGTGACTATGCATTTTGTAGGTTAACGGAGCAGCCAATTTATGCACACCAATGTGCATAAATTGGTCATGAAGTCATGATAGTCATGAAGTGAATGAGTGTTGGCCAGGACACCAGCAGAAACTCCCTTCTCTTTTCAAATAGTGTCATGGGATCTTTAACATCCACCTGAAAAGGCAGACAGGATCTCAGTTTAACATTGTTTAACATCTCATCCCAAGGGCAGCACCTCTGACAATGCAGCACTTGTCCAACACTGCAATAGAGTGTTAACATACACTATGAACTCAAAATTCCTGATGTGGGGAATGAACTTGCAGCCTTCTGATTCAGAGGCGAGAGTGCTACCAAGTGAGCCGAGCTTGAATGTTTTCTATTTTCATTCGGATTGACTTGCTCAATACTGTAATTGAATTAAGACTGTAATATATTATTTACTCTTTGATTATTGGAAAGTAGACCTTATGAGTATATTAGTAATCAACTTTTTTTTCACAGCTGGTTTAATATGTGCGATGAACCATGAGAAAAAGGATTTAGAGGTGTTGATGTACAGTGAAATGACTTTTAATGCTATCACAAGAACGTTTAATGTAGAGCACAATGATGCCTGGTGCATTGATATTGCTGCAGTGGACAGAATAAAAACGTAATCTCTGATGCCCAGTTGTGTGAACACGTTGAATATATTATTGCCTCACGCTGTGTAACCTGTATAAGCGCCACAAAGGGTCACGTTTGTTGAGAGGTTTAAATTCTGAAGTTTTACTTTTAATCAATTTAATCAACGGGTGTAATTTCTTTATGTGTGGAGTTCTGGACTGTATATCGCCGGTTGTGTGAGGTAATTAGATCGATGCATAGGTACTTTCAGGTGCAAACCTGTGTTGAGTTGGTGCGGGCGTGTTACAGACGATTGCCTTTACCTGGTATTCGAAGCTTCCTGGCAGAGTCTGACGTGCTGGGGAATAAGCTGCTGGACTACACAAATTACTGTATAGAGCAGAAGTTCAAATCATTGCATTAAAATGTCTCAAGACTGGGTATTTAATCTTTCAGCTTTGGCTTTTATTTGTCTGCTTACGTTGACTAACCAAACTGCTGTGATCTTTTCGTCTTGATTTGGATATTATTGGGGTGATTAAAATGTTTTTTNGCTTTTGAAAAGAAGCTTTTTTTCTGTTTATTTTGCAAATGTATGCATCAGCGTAACAACGTTTTTTTATATATATATATATATATAATATGTAAACTTCACCTTTTCCCCCTTGTTTCCAATAGTCATGTTGAGCTCAAGACTCAGTGGGATCATCCAAAGACTGGGAAAAAGAAGCGTATAGCTGGAGGTTTGTATTTACCTATCTCCTATCAATTCTACAGATTTCCTTTCGAAATACAGGCAGGAGCTTGTTACTTTGAAGCTTTCTTCTGTGTTTTGAGTGAAAAATGCCTCATGGAAGCAAGGTGGCAGAGTTGGCCAGTGTTTTAGAGTTCGGATGGTGTTAGCAATTTATCTGCAGAGTGCGAGTTTGTGATGTTCATCCCAAGAGTTTCGGTGCTGGTTCATGACATGACATAAAACCCTTTGGATGAAATCTGTGCAACATTAACTTCATTATCTTCGGTTAAAAAAAAATCAAGCTGAAAATCAAGAAGACTTGGATTTCACACGCGGTCTAGGCAAGGCAATTGGCTCGCCGAATGAGTAGAAACTTGAAGGAATAATGGAAAAGAAGACGCCCTATTTGAAGATTTATGATACAAACTGATGCACCTATTTTTGTATAAAAAAGGAAGTGCTAATTAAATTCTTTGCCCTTTGCTCTGTCTCAGCAATAAGCCTTAACTCCAGCCTGGTGAAAAGCACTGCCTACTGCATCAATGTGACATTTCCATTTCCCATATGAGCCATCTTTATGACTTCTCCTAATGCCCTTGTTATGCTAGGACTCCTGTGCTGCTTTGATTGTTCATGCAAAGGCAAAAAAAAAAATCCTGTGTTAAGATTCGCAAACTGGAACTGTAGTGGACTTGGTCACCAAGGCCCACTTATAGTAGCGGTCTGCCGGTGGGGTAATGTTCTGTAAAACAGGAAGCCCCTTAATGCAACACTCATGATATATGTAAGTGTGCTTTGTGCTAGTTCAATCACTCCAGCAAGCGTAAAATCATGGTCGCTTTGAACAGTAAGATTAAATGTATTTCTTTATATATTCCCACTACACAATAATAGGCGGAAGCCATTCACCCATAGCACTTATGCTGGTGCTAACTGTGAGAATCCTGTACATAGCTGCCTCTGAACCACCTGTAGAACTCTTTCTGTGGTGCACACCGTATCTAGCATTGGCTGCACTGAACTGCTGACAACATCCTGGCTGTCACTTTGGACAATTACAGCCGTCAGAGAGAGAAAACTTCAATCCTACCAATCTGACCTGAAGGGAATGTGTTTAGATGTGTGGCTCTAGTTAGAGAGCCAGCATAGCACTATGCACTGGATCAAATGGCTTCCGCTGTGAGGTTCCTCTTAATGTCAGAGGTTAATTATGCTTGCATACAGTCTTGCCCAGATACTGATAAACAGTTGACTTAGTACTTTAAATATTTTTATTGGATTTTGAGCATCCTTGCAAGTGACTTCTCACCAGGCACTGGCTTTATTATTCAGTGGTTCTTTTCCTCCCCGTTTTAATTCAACTAATTAAATATATAACTGGTTCAATATATAACTTGTCCCTTTTTGGATAATTAATTAAATTTTGTTTAAAAACTAAAAATGCTAAATTATGAAAACATGTGTATTCAGTATCCAGTGAATTTTAGCATTTTTTTCATGGCAGGACGTTAAACTGAAGAAATGTGGCTTTTCTTTTTAAGAAAGCAGTTTCCGTATGTTTTGTTTCTTAAAAAGGGAGCCTTGTGGTTTGCTGGGTGCAATTGGCTGCTGTGTTTCGCTCACAAAATATACGGTCAATTCACTTCACACTTTATTCTGTGAAGCGCTTTGACACGTCTCGAAGACACGATAAGGCGCCATATCAAATTCAAGTATTATTATTAGGATCCCTTTTTAAAATAGATCGGTAAAAAATCATTACCATCACCTTTTTGGGTCCTTGGTTTGTTTTGTTTAAATAGCTGTTGAGATTGTAGGGGAGTGAGAATGGCTTGGAGGGGTTTCTAAGCCTGAGTGCAGCAATAAGAGAGACCTGAATTAATAAATAGCTCAGGCACTTCAGGTTATGATGGCATCAACGGATGTTAATTCCCTTGTGCCTTTGGGAATCTGTATCTCCTCCAACCAGTCTCCTAAACATAATCAGGATTCTGTTACTTGTGCTGAGTTATTTTTAAACATTATTGTACAGTCAGAAAAGGCAGATGTTCACTTTAAGCTTGGTTATTTTTAATGTTTTTATATATAGAATCCGAATCATTGAACGTTGCAGCACAGAAATGGACCATTCAGTCCATCAAGTCGGTGCTGGTGTTCATATCACTCATTTAATCCAGCTCTGCTGCTTGCTCCACAAATCCTTGAATATTCCTGCTTTTCAAGCATCGTTGTAATTCTCTTTTAAAAGAGTTTAATGACTCTGCTTCAAAAATGAGCTATGACAGAGAATTCCACTTCCCACCCACGCTTTGTCTAAACCCGTTTTTTTAAAAACAAACAAATCCCCTGTTGAAATGTTTTGTGATGGTGAAAATGCTTCACAATTATGTTAGTAGTGTGACCACTGAATATTATTGAAGCAATGTCCAATTCTTTCCTCACAGGACATTTGCACAATTTGACCTTCCATCAGGGGTGATTAGAGAGTAGGACCCCCCCCCCCCCCGGAAGCCCAGGGTGTAGAATAGAGGGGAGGGGAGTTCAAATCATTGGCACAAATTTAGTGATATATATTAGATAATAAACTGTTCGAACATCTTCCAAAAATTTGCTAAAAACACAAATTTATGTTGGGAATAATGTTTTTTCTTAACAGAAATGAACTCCCAATATAATTCATAATTCTATCTATTTCTGCTACAGATTTACCTTATGGATGGGAACAAGAAACTGATGAAAAGGGTCAAATATATTTTGTTGAGTAAGTACATAAATAAATGGCTCGGGTCAGTGAGAATTGGATTTTTTAAGTTAATGCTTGAGATGGAACAAATTCATGGCCAAACGTTTTGGAAGAGTCCTTACATAGTTGACTGCTCAACTAGGAGGCTCATTAAATGTTTTAGGCTTCGCACTGTATTGGCAAGTGCTCTGAAGTGCAAGGTGGAGGTAATTTGCTGGGTGTTCCTTCTGGTTCCCATTTGGTGGCCGGGCGAAGCAATATAAAGTAAAAGGGAGGGAGAAATTAAGAGACTTATTTCATACGATATTCCCTCTCTCCCACCTCCTCCCCCCCCCTCTTATTTTTAAGGACTTTTTAAAAATGATTATAACTTGTTCCTTTACAGCCACATAAACAAAAGGACCACCTACCTGGATCCGCGTTTGGCATTCACAGTTGAAGATACATCTGATAAACAGATTATTCGGCAGAGATATGACGGGAACAGCAGTGCTCTGGACATTTTGCAGGGTCGAGACCTCTCTGGCAAAGTTGCTATCATTACTGGGTCTAATTCAGGGATTGGTAAGTCGCTGCAATTTCATACCTAACATCTTATTTTTAAGAAAGTAATGGAGGTATCACAGCTTTGTTTTATAGATGATAAAAAAAATTTTTTTTACATTCAGTGACCTTTTATTTTGACAAATATCCAGCTGATGCTACGTTTTCGTTGAGCAAGAGAGGAAGAAGATTGCACTATGCTTCTGGTCTCTTTGTAGACCAGATGGTATAGCTATTCAAGAGATTTCTGCTAATTCTATGTTTTAATTGCAGAAATACTGTGTCTTACTTTTCTTTAGAACATTTTATTCGAGGCTTTTATGTTTCAGAATACTTCAAACCCCTTCCCCAAACAAACCCTTCTGAGCTTGAATGATCACGACGAGGAATATCCTATTGCCATTTACAACTTCTACAAAGAGATTTCTCTTGTCAATGACCCAATCAATAATGGGTAGCATTCTCAGACGCGAACGATCGATTGACCGTATCGGTTGTCAAAAGTGACCTGTTTGGTAGGGTTAACGTTGCAGAAATGTCGGTGTTTGTCACCTACGTTTAGGCGTTTTAAAAAGGAATGGCGTGCCTTGATTGGCATTCTTGGCAGCGTAATCCCTAACCTTGCAAATCAGCAAATTGAAGATCACATTTAAGAATAAAGCCCTCAGGATACCATGTGTATTGTCCCACCACACACCGCGCCTGGTGATTTGAATATGGATGTTCCGAGCAGACAATAATTTTGTGTTCCCGCCCACTTAAAAGTTGACCCTGATTGTGCGGGCAGTATCTGATCTGATGATCGGGCGTGATGAGATCAGTATTGCAGTCTGACACTTGCACTGCTCTGGAAGGGAGGCTCGATCAATTATTAAAAAAAAAAACCACACAGAAAAGGACGGGAGTTGCATTTCAATTGAAAATCGTGAAAAAAAAAAAAAATGAGGACTGGACCTTTCAAAGGTGTTCCAGATAGGTGACAGGTTACCCTTTCCAGTGGAATCCAAGCTCATCTAAAGTTGACCCCGCGGAAATGAGGGCAGGTGAGCTCGTTCGGTTCCTTTCATTACGCAGGAATAACCCAGGCCGTTTCCCTAAATGTAGGTCATTAAAGTTCCTCCAGAGAGAGAGAGAGAGAGAGAGAGAGAGAGCGAGAGAGAGCCCGAAAGGAAATGTCAAGTATTCTGCTGTAAGCCTCGAAAAAATGGGGAGTTTGAATCCCGTGCACCTTGGCAGCACTGAATCCCCGTGTCCACTGGAGGGCACTCTTGCTCTGCGCTGAATGCCGCGACTTTCCTGCTTTTACGTGCGAGCGCCGTTGCCTTGAACGCCGCGTTAGACGTCGTGCCGCGGAATGGATGGGGGCCGGCCCGCAAACAAAGAGCGGCACCTTGAAACCTTCGACAAAACCCGCAGTCCCTTTTGTTTCCCGCCCAGTTGTCCGGGGCCACGCGAATCAAATCAGCGCCTGACTTTCGTGTGGCTCTTGACTTTGCCCGAGAGGTCAGGTAGCCCGCGCAGAGCTGCCCAGCGCAGGACTGAGACTGACCGCTCCCCCTCTGCTTTGTGCTTTTTAATACTATATATGATAAGATACCACGAGTTCAGTCCGTGTGGACCCTCAGCGTTTAATCGCCTGGGCTCCTGCTGTACATGGCATTTCCCTTATTCACTCTGGTTAAATATAGTAAACTATACTACTTATATATTTACTGGTATTTTGATGCTGGGATGGGGGTGGAGGGGGTTGCATTGTGAACTAACTTGCTGATTTCTGTGAATATTCGTGGCAGTGTTGGCACTCAGTGTTGTGCATTCTGCCCATCACCTCCCACCGTGTAGCTATAAAATAGACTCTTAATTTTTGTAGAACTAAGCCTTGTTCTTCTGAAACCTACGAGTAATATGTGAAAAGGATCTATAAATAAATGCCACAGTCAAAACTTAGCTTGGGTGCTTGAGGGTACTTTTATTTTTCCAGCAGCTAAATTATACCAGTCAAATCCTGCTGGTTATTGTGCGACTTTTGCCATTGCTAGACTTTACATGGAGCCATTTTCATTGAGGTGCTGTTCTTGACGCTCTCAGTTGGTTGTCTGTGATGGTCTCAGCAGTTGGAACTATTGCTGGAGACGATCCTGGGACGGGTGTTCCTCTGACTTGAGATGTGGTTTTCATTTAAATTCTGGCAGTGTGTGCTCAGGCTTTGTTCTTCTTGGAGAGCTGCGAATTGGAGAGCAAAAGTATTGCAAACACTTGTGCCGTTGCTTGAACTCGTGTCTGGGACTTCTTCCTCGGGAGATGCTCTATGAACACAGAACTCTTAATTCTAATTGAAAATACAGGATTGGTTTGAGGGATCGACAGGGTGTTATTTGGCCTGACTTTAGATTGTGCAGAATGTTTTTGGAGGGAAAGCTTAGTACCTCGACTAGTGGTTAACTGCAGGATCTGATTTCTGTAAAAATACACAACTTGTGCGACAAATCCATAGCACAATTTGTGTATTTTCTTAGACCTACATAGCAAATGTTTAGTGGGTTGAGGCTGCTTTCCTTTCATGAATTGTGCATTGTGCGCCAGTTGAGAATTTGGGGATAGTTTTTTCTCCGCACGTGTATGAATAGACACTGTCTAAACTCAGTGCTCTGTTGGGGCCTGTGTGTGTGGGCTGGATTTCCCAGAAGTGATCTACGGTGTTCAAAACCACTGCACCACCCAACGTTCCTCATTCAATCATAAGGGAAATTAAGCATCTTCAGAAAATGAGTATGGACAGTGTGGTAAAGACTTTACCCAGCAATCAATTTAGCACTGTTTAATTTCTCTGGTTCCTAACCAAATGTATTTTTGCTTCTTGCATGGTAAATGTGATATTGAGATGAAATAATCATGGGAGGAATTTTCGAAAGCAGAACTTTCAAACTTGATTCATTTTGAAAAATCAAATGAGAGAAGCCGGGGCCTCAGAGGTATGCAATGGGATGGTAAGACTTGTGTGTGCTCAGAAGTCCACCGCACACTAAATTCAACCATTCTGTCCTGATGAAGAAACTGGTGGATGTTGGACAATTTCTCACAGTGTTGGAGGACAACTGAAGGAAGCAGCACTGGTTTCCCACTTGCTCACCTCCCAGTTTTAAGGCAATATGTTGCTTTCTTTCCTGCTTAGTGGGGATGGGAAATGGGGAAAATAGAATCTGACAAAGGGAAGGGAGGAACTTTGCAAAAATATTCCTCTAAAAACAAATTATTCTTTTAGTTCCACCCTACCACCTCTCCTACATTATTTATAAATAGCGCCTTTCACGTCGGGAGGAGGTTGACGAGGATGTCAATGGAGGCTTGGCAAAGTATTTAGGAGTTGGATTGTAATGTGGCTTTAATTGAGACTGATGACGCCCTCCCGCAAAACCACTTCTTAATTGGGTATAATTTTGTTTGGCGCACTTAGTGATAGATAGATTCAGCATCGCTCAGTTCCTTACCGGGCCTTCAGTGCTTTGTGTTGAGAACAAGACATAAAAAAATGGAAGGCAGAGAGAGCAGGCAGAAGTGGACAAAAGGTTTCAAAGAGAGATCTTTAATCTGCTAATGCTAGCCAGGAGTTGTATTTTTGTTTTTTTTGAAAAGAAGGTTGAAAAGACCGATTTTGTGTAATACGGCTTTGATAATGACTGCAGCAAGTCAAGTTATGTGCATTTTGAAAAAAATAAATATTCAGAGCTAAGATATCGTTTGCAAGATAAACAAGTTTCCTGTACGAACATTTTAGGATTTTTTTATAAGGACAAAATCTGGTTTGTAAAAATCTGATTACTGAGGTCACTTGGTCAAATAATTGTTTTTTTAAAAAAAAAAAAAATTCCTTGTACATTTCTGTTCAAGATTCATTTTGTTTGGCCCTCGTGAATTCTCGTCAGTTCCAAGAATAACTGGTGTTTCTGTTTTGAAAGACGGGGGCTAAGGCAGGATGTGGCTGAAGACTAACACAAAGGAATCCAGAGGAGAATCAGTTACTGGAGTAAGTTAGAGGCAGCTTCCAAGAAGAGAGTTGAGGAAGAGGAGAGTGACAGTGAGTTTGAAACAGGACATTTTGGCGCATGAAACATTCAAGTGATTCTGCGTGTGTTTGAGTGGATAGCACGTACTTCCTTTAAGGGCTTCGTGCCATCTTTTACAAGTAGAAGTCGACTGGAGAATGTTCACCCTGGAAATGGTTTTTTAAAAAAAAGTAGGGAAAACTACATTCAACGTAAAATATTTTCTTTCTCCTTCCTTATTCCTTGAACAAACCTGTGTCGTGAAAAATGACTTTTAAAACAAAAAGAATCATTGAATTTATGTGTTATATTTTATATATTGTTAAATATAAAATCCTAACCCCCAGCTCGGGACCAAATCCCTGACTGTCCAGTGCCTTGGGACGTCCTCCCGACATGAAAGGCGCCGTGTAAATGTGGCAGTGGGTCCTTTAATATATTTTATTATCACTACTTGTATGAGGCAAAATATTTCATATGCAAAGCATTTTTTTTGTTCCCTTCTATTGTATTTTTCCTTTCCGTTTTAATGAAAGTCTTGCAGTGAAACTTACTATTGAACTAAAACAACTTTTTCAAATTGATCTCACTCCCAGTACAATGTATTCTTGTGTAAATTATTTAAACAAATATTTGAAATGACTTTCATTAAACTAACAGCGGAAATCCATATTCCAGGTTTGTGCTGTTTCAAGAAGTACTTTTATTCCAAAATCTACATGTAGATTTGTGGCAGTGAAAGGGGTAAGTATATGCCTGGGTCTCCCTGAGCTGAGGGGATCTGGACACAGAGTACAAGTGGAAAATTGAAGATGGTGAAATATAAGATGGTTGAATTAGTGTAAGGATCAGTGGTTTTACTTCTGGGGGTTTTCTCGATGGTACGAAAGGAGAATTCAATGAATGGACATTCTCATAGAAGGTGTTCTGTTTGAAACATTTTATTTTCAAATTGGCGCCAATGCAGTTTTCCTTTTA